AGAGCACACCTCGCTTTTTCAGACCGATGAGCTTTGTAAAAATCGACGCGTTTCAAAAAGGCGGGGAATAGAGGAGAAACAATAATGTACAGTATGTGGAAAATAATGCGTTTTTTTTACTTTAAACCCCATAAACACATTTCATTACACCAAATACACAAAATAATGTTCTTTTTAGCAGCATCATATGACCCCTTTAATACAGATGATGCCAACGTATTTTTCGATGAGTCGCAATGCTAGCAATAATAACGTTACCTGCTTGATGGAAAGGGTTGACAGGTTTTTCTTTTTACAACAAGACCCTCCCAATTGCTACCCAAAACTAGCCCAAACTAACCGTGTTTCGAGGGGTCCCCTGGTAAAAATCGCGTTCCGGGGGATAAAATACACGTTATTGGGGTTACTTCAACCCGCTGACATGAAAACAGTGATAAAGTATCCCAGTTCCACGGGAAAACCGCGGACTTGGCAACACTGTGACGGATACAATGGACACAAGCGCTGTCGTGGCGTGACCACAACAGCTTGTCGTTGTCTAATTTGGCGAGCCCGGTCTCATGAAAATACGTATTTGGCGTACTATTTATACGCACTTTCATGAGATCGGGTTAAATTTGGTACAGTCTCCCTGCTGCACTAATAGCAGTAAGGCTTTCCTCTGTGTATACATATCCCAGAAGTACAATTTTAGCTGTATTATTTGTGTCCCCTTCAAAAATCGATCTTGAGAAATTTTATGTTTATTGTCCCCCCCAACTGTTAGACGAAATTTACGCCCCTGCCTCAAGAATTTATTTCTTGATCGGAACAGATTTGGAGAAATGTAGCATTGCATCACTTGTCTCAGCAATGGATGCTCAGCAGTGAATGGGTGCCGTCAGAACGAGAGTCCAAACAGCTGATAAAAACATCACAATAATCCACAAGTAATCCACACCACTCCAGTCCATCAATTAACGTCTGATGAAGCCAAAAGCTGTGTTTTTAAGAAACAAATCCATCAAGGCATTTTTACTTCAAACCGTTGATTCCACCTAAAATACAAGCTCTCTATCCATAATATTGCTTTCTTCAGCGAAAAAGTTGTCTCATCTGAATCAGGAGCGAACTCTGCTCATGTCAAGCACCATTTTCAAGCAAAAACAGTCCAAAACAGTTCTGAACAAAAATGTGTGTGGATTTTGATGTGAGAGGACAACAGGGGATCGACATTTTCACTGGAGGAGGCATTATGGATTATGGATTTTAGACTACTCTGGCCAGAAGCGATAGTTTAAAGTTAAAATGCCTAAATGATGGATTTGCTTCTTACAAAGATGTAGCCTTTCACAAGACATGACAACTGATGGACTAGAGTCATGTGGATTACTTGTGGATTATTGTGATGTTCTTATTAGCTGTTTGCACTCTGACGGCACCCATTCACTGCAGAGGATCCATTGGTGAGCATGTGATGTGATGCTAAATTTCTCCAACCCTGTTCTGATGAAAAAACAAACTCGTCTAGATCTTGGATGTCCTGAAGGTGTGTACATTTTCAGCAAATTTTTATTTTTGGGTGAACTATTCCTTTAAGTAAGCCACTCAGAAACAAAAGGAGGGTGGCTGGGACAGGTACAAAGAGAGTTAGAAAGTCTACTCTGAGCCTTTGAAGCTAGTCTTAAATCACTTAACGAGAGAGAAAAAAAGTTGTACCAAAGTTGAATAAGTGAATAAATCTGCTGCCTTCTCTGAGAGCAGTTGAAAACACATCCAACATGCTTGACACGCAACAGCGCCCCCTATTTACCTGGATCTTCTACTTTACAGATTGATTTGACTATAAATAAGAAAGTATAGTTGTTACATGTGAGTTGGTCATTGTATTATGTTTATGACATTGGATATTTTTGTTTACACTGTATTATTTTTATTTCTAAATACACAGTACTATGTGTGGGTTTGTGTATTTGAAGGGAGGCATTATGGGGCGGTCAGCTGTGAAGGATGTAAGGGGTTCTTCAAGCGAAGTGTGCGCAAGAGTCTGACATATAGCTGCCGCAGTAACCAGGACTGTGTGGTGAACAAACACCATCGCAACCGCTGCCAGTTCTGTCGTCTCAGGAAGTGCTTGGAGATGGGCATGAAGATGGAGTGTGAGTAAATAAATAAACAAAAACTCTGACCACATGGTCATACCTTGACAAAAAAAGGTACAAAACTGTCACTAGGGCAGTACCTTTTTAACTTAAATGTACACTTTAAGTACTAATACAAAGATGTACCTTTTTAGCTTTTGTACCTTAGTGTACTGCCACAGTGACAGCTTTGTACCTTTTCTTTGTGAGAGTGTATATCTGTGTCTGTTCTTCTGAGAGCATATAACCTCATCTGAACTCATTAACACCCCGTGGCCATTGAAACAGTGCTGGTACTTGGCTGGAGCTCAGCTGGAGGATCTGTAAACCTCTTTCAGAACTGGCCCATGTTACCAATTACACGAGAGCCGTATACTGTCGTAACTGACTATGATACTATGCAGCGTTGTGGCCCCTTTAAATGTTTCATAATTGCACAGTGAAAATTTGGAAGGCTGAAGCTTCTGACAGTATTTATGCATTTTGTATTACTCACATAGCTGTACAGAGTGAGAGGAAACCCATTGATCTTCCTAGAGAAAAACCTGCCAACTGTGCAGCATCCACAGAGAAAATCTACATCAGGAAAGACCTGCGGAGTCCCCTCATCGCAACACCGACCTTCATCTCTGAGAAAGACGCCTCACGGTGAGACTCACATTCACAAAGCATCTGCATGCTCTAGTCTACATGATGCATACAACTAGCTTAAACCAGAGGTCTAGTTTAAAAAAAAAAGAGCTCACATTAATATAATTCAAATTAGAATCAGGGATTTAGTGTAGTATAGTTCAATACGGGGTATTCATTTACTGTAGCTTTATTTTATTTTACTATTTATTTCTTAGACATAAGTATATCAGAAAAGCATCTGCTAAATGAATTAATTTAAATATTTTTATCATGATTTAATCCTCTGTGCAGGTCCAGACTGTTGGACTCTGGGATGCTTGTCAATATCCAACAACCTTTAATACAAGCTGATGGCACATTACTATTAGCAACAGACAAAGTAAAAACATCTACATAACTTTTCTGTGTCTGTCAGTTTTTTTTCTTTTGTGTTTTGTGCAGTCCAGGGTTTCCCAAGCCGGAGTTTGTAATGACCTTGGGTGTTTTTAGATTGTGATTGCCAAAATACCAAATTATACTCTGATCTCATATACAAAAAGTTGTCACGAATTTTTTTGTTGTTGTCATATTTATTGAAAGATTAAACATTAAATGAAATCTCAAGGGGTTATTCAAGAATAATAATTTAGATCAGAGGGTTGAACTGACAGTTAAACGGTTGTGAGTCCCGGATCCAAAATGTTTTGGTATTTGTTGCTGTTAAATTGAGTATTTTTTAAATAATAATTATACATATTATAAACATTCAGAAAAAGCTGTAGGTGTTAGTTTTTTTTTTTCCACTTTAAAATATATATGAAGATGTTATTTGTTCATTAGGCGGAGTCAGGACAAGGTGATCTGGGGACGCTGGCTAATGTGGTTTCATCATTAGTCAATCTGAACGATCCGGTTAGTAACGGAGAGCTGGAGGAGTCACCCAGTGAAATCACACGGTGTGTTATTAATGCAGACAATAGCTGTGTATGTTTTTCACAGTGTAAAGAGATTATGGTATTAGTTATAAGAATAAGTAATCTTAAAAAGAAAATTACTCCATTCCAAACCCGTGTGACTTCTTTCTTCTGTGGAAGGGGTTGTTTTGACCATAAAACAAAAGAAGATGGCAACATCTTAGTTTGAATCAAACAAACCTGATGTATGGCTCCTAAAGATGTGGAATATGGCACACAAGTCATGAAGTCTGAACATTGTACAGAAATTGGTACAGATTTGGAATGACATAAGGTTAAGTACATTTCAAAGAGCTGGTTTTAAACTGTACCCTCAAAACAAGGTAAAAAAAAAAAACGTGATCATTTTTTGTAATTGTTTCTGAGTGTGATGTCTTTGGTGTTGCAGTGCCTTTGACGCGCTAGCTAAAGCTCTGAACCCCAGTGAGGTGGTGGAGGGCCAGAGCTCGTCAGAGGTGGATGGTGTGGGTGGAGCTACAATACAGGTGATCAGCAGGGATCAAATCTCACCACTCATAGAAGTTGAGGGACCTCTGCTTACAGACACACACATCAGCTTTAAGGTGTGTACATGACATTCTTATACTCTTGCAAAAGCCTTGAAGTCAACATGAAATAAAAGAAAAAGAAAAAATATTTTATGCTGCTGTTGTAGAGTGGACGTCTAAGTGCTGTTATTTATTATTGATTAGCATTAATGTAATAAAGTTACAGCAGTAATAACAAAAAAAAAGTGGATAAAGAAGTGTTACATTGGTCCATGTGGTGGTGCTCTTGAGGGTGAATCCACATCCTGGTCTAAATGTCTCCTCAAAAGTGGGTGACGGTAGCATTTTAAGACAGAAGTAATCTTCCACAATCCACTGCAAATTTACATTCAGATCTCACTCATTTTCCAGGCTGACCCACTTTTCACCATCCATTAAATTCCTGATGGATTATATCAAGTATTGCCCTACATTGTTTTATCTCATTAAATAACAGTTAACTCTGAAATGTCACAAAATGGGTTGTGAAAGCCATTTGAGTTTATTGAGTTTTAATGTACAGTGGGGGTCAAAAGTTTAGAATAATTAAGATTTTTAATGTTGTTGAAAGAAGTCTCTTCTGCTTACAAAGGCTGCATTTATTTGATCACAAATACAGTAAAAACAATTTTAAATAACTGTTTTCTATTTGAATATATTTTAAAATGTAATTTATTGCTGTGATCAAAGCTGAATTTTCAGCATCATTACTCCAGTCTTCAGTGTCACACGGTCCTTCAGAAATCACTCCAATATGCTGATTTGCTGCTCAAGTGACTTTTCTTATTATAATCAATGTTGAAGTTGAATAATTAGCCATAAAGTGGGGTGTTAGAATAGTCTTTTTTAGTATTCCTTATATAAATTTCACATGGATATAGTTGATATTGGGTAATATAATAACAATTGTAATATTGAGACAATTTATATTCAGTAAATCATTGATTTAACTGTATTTCACGTTGTTAAATGAAAATACAAAATAAGTGAATTGAGATGAATAAATTACACTGTTATTTGTAGAGTTACAAATCTATATTTGTAATTATAACTAGGTATCGTTTCCTAATTGAAGAATATTGCAACACTCTTTGAAGCTGCTTCAAAATAATTTGTATTGTATAAAGCACAGTATAAATAAACATGACTTGATATAGCATGTGTGAAAATATAATGTTGCTTAATTGCAGCTGTTGATATCAGTAATTAGACAAAAGTTAAGAGTTTGTAAAGATAAAATACAGTTTTTTTTTGTGTGTGTTTTACAATTCTAAATAATAGAAGAGAGTCTTAAGTGTGTTATTATTTTCTCGCTCTAGTTGACGATGCCAAGCCCAATGCCTGAGTATCTGAATGTGCATTATATCTGTGAGTCTGCATCACGCCTGCTCTTCCTCTCCATGCACTGGGCGCGCTCTATTCCAGCCTTCCTTGCTCTCGGGTGAGATCTCTGTTGTGCGGTTTCTCTCTGTACTTCTGCATGCTATCTCTCTAGAGTATGTCAGTTTCTGTCTCTGTATGTGTAGGCAGGAATGTAACACAGCTCTGGTGCGAGCGTACTGGAATGAGTTGTTTATTCTGGGTCTGGCACAGTGCGCTCAGATCATGAGTCTGTCCACCATCCTCGCTGCCATCGTCAATCATCTGCAGTCCAGTATCCAGGACGGTATGGCACAGCTAAATATCAAGTCTGACATCCACAATGTTTACAGAGTGTACTTTCTGCTGGAGACTAGCGATATTATACAATAAAACAGTTACACAGAGTCTGCATCCAAAAAAGACAAAGCGACAGTAGGAACCTTCAAACTGCTAAATTTAAGGATTTCTTTATAAAGATTATTTTTTACAAATTTTAATGATGAAAACATCTCCAATTCTCCAATATCAAAACTTGTTGATGTTGGAAGCATTGCTAGAACAAATAACCTCTGATGTAACTGTAGTGTTGTCATTAGTCTTTAATTAACTAACAACTGATCTCCTCTCAGTAGACAAGCTATCGAGTGAACGCATTAAACTAGTCATGGAGCACATATGGAAGCTGCAGGAGTTCTGCAACAGCATGGCAAAGCTGCAGACAGACGGATATGAATATGCCTACCTAAAAGCCATTGTCTTGTTCAGTCCAGGTACACATGCCAACAGCTTTACACAACAATTAAATTCCTCAGAGAAGGCCAGAATGTTGCATTTGGGTGATTGAAAAAGTTGTAGTAAAACAGAAGTAAACTCACAACTGATTCATTTATTCACAAGATCATCCAGGTTTGAGCAGCTGTAGTCAAATTGAAAAGTTCCAGGAAAAAGCGCAGATGGAACTCCAGGACTATGTGCAAAAGACTTATCCCGATGACACCTACAGGTCTGTTCCATATTCAAGTAATACTCTGGGTGAAATGCATCATAGTCTCGATCAACAGCATTTGTGGCATGCTGTCAGTTAACACAATCATTTTTTACACAACAGGTTTAAGGAAAAACATGTTTGCAGTGTCCTTCTGGTGGGAATTTAGAATGCAAACGGCAAGCAACTAAGCAACTGCATTTTAAAATATGCAGTTCACACTGTTTTGCGTCTATGGCCTTAATAACCTTCAGGTCCTGTGCCATCCAAGAAACTACCGTTGAGATGAATGGGAATGCTAACGAATTGCTTGCTGCAGGTATTCTTGACCTCCTTGGACACAAGTGTCTGTAAAGTATTGTTTCCATGAAGCAAAACTCACCCACAAGAATTACACTTGTAACGAACAACCAGAAGTTGTATATTCTCAGATAAAGTATAAGAAAACTGTAAACTTCACTGCTTTTAAATTCTCTGGCCCCAAGTTTTTTTTCTTTTTTTCTGTGGTTACTGACAACATGCCTTATTTGCTGTTCACAGAACTGTGGTTACATTGCATTTAGGTGTTAATTGGCTGATTTGCTAATGTCCTTTCATTAATTGCTCATTGATGTGGCAGGTTGGCCCGAATCCTGTTGCGTTTACCAGCGTTGCGGTTGATGAGTTCCAGTATAACTGAAGAGCTGTTTTTTACTGGCCTTATTGGAAATGTACCGATCGACAGTATCATCCCATATATCCTTAAAATGGAGACTGCAGACTACAACAGCCAAATCACAGGCCCCTCTGTGTGATCGCACTCTGACTGTCATTTCATTTTGACCTTGAGACTGAAGTCATGCAAGTCCCATCATCCCTTGCCCTCACGGGGACTCAAATATATCACAATATATTGAACTGACCAACAAGCTCTACCTCAAGAGGAGCTGCAACAGTGAAAGCCTTTCAGTATGTGACCGTTACCCTAGAAATATTGTGTTGTAGTTTACAGAGAGATGCATTATGGGACTTTCAGTTCCAATGACAGGACATTTGCCTCGAAAATTAAACAAAGGCCTTTCTTTTTTTAAACCCTTATTTAAAAACACTTGAGCACTTCATGATGATTCCAATGGAAACAATCCAAGATAAAATTTTTACAGCCCCAAATTCTCCTAATAATTTTTTTATTACCTATGAGCAATGATCTTTTCCAAAGGAAGACGTGATTCTTGATTGAATGTAGCAGTTGATATCAAGGCAGTTTTCTTCTGAATCTCTGGATCCCTGAATCTCTACTTGTTCATTTTTCTCATTGATAAAGCAGTTAAGTAGAAAGCAAATTTTCTGTGTCCCACAGATCGTGTACTTTGTACCGTCACTTCCGTCGTCATGACAATCAACCTCCTTCTCCTCAATATCATATTTTACCTTCAAACTCATGTATTTATTTCATTGAGTCTAACTCTATAGTTCATACAAATGTAGATAATCTGATTTGCTTGGTTTAAAAAAAAAAATCTTATTAAATGATATATAGAAAGTATTTGATCTGTATCTTTATAGCATTTGACTGCTGCTGCAATGTACAAAAGGTGTCATTTTCAGATGTAATATATCCACAATTGTGATGGTTTAATGCACTTAGATTACTAATTAGCTTTTTATTTGCAGATATGTGCACAGATAGTTTTTAAATTAGTTTCTAATGTCTCATTTTGTCCTAATTGTAAGAAAAGTATTGACATGCACTTATTTATGTGATTCCCCCCCAAACAAATATTTACATAGGCTGTATTTATTTGGGTTTAAAATTAGTAGTTCGGAGGAAAAAAAAAAAAAAAAGTAAATATACTTCAACTTCCAGACTTTGGTATTGGTTAGCCACATTGTTTTTTTTACATCCCAACGAACTATAATATGATAAACCACACACACCCACTGTAACATGGGAAAGCATGCCAAGTCATAAGTGAGCTGAGCAGAAGCTAATTACATTTCAATAGGATTTTTGTTTGGAATTACCAGCTGTGCAACTGTGCAGTCTGCTTATGATCTGTCCAAAATGTGCCTCATATATTTGAAAACCTACAAACTAACTCACAAAACTGGTGGTTTTGTATTTGCATGCGTGCTTCATTTATGCAACAAGAGCATCTTGTTAGATGTTCGAGTGACTTTCATCAATTTCTTGTTAAACAAGAAAAAAAAAAGTTTCAATGACTTTTACCATTGTTACACACATTACTGTAAAGCGATGGCTGTTGAATAGATGTCCATTGGCAAATATGTAGATTATATTCGAAAGAATATTCACTTCTCCATGCAAATGAACATACAAACATTGACATCAACCTTAATCATCAGCAATGTCAAAATTATTCTTTATAGAAATTGCTTAAACCCTGCTTTACAGTTTGAACCTCTGTTACAGAAGAGGTTTCTGTTTCCCATAAATGTTCTATTGTATAAGGTTTATTGTTGTTTTAGAATTCTTTCAGAAGTCATCTCTACTTGGTCTCAGTGATTTTGTCAAAAAACCCTAGTTGCTGTTTCAAAAACGCCCCCCACAAACTGTTTTATACGGTTTTAACACCGACAGGCAGGTATCTTAAACAAAATTGTGTACGTATTTTAAAATGCCTAATGTTTTTGGTTTCAGTCTGTAAGTGACTGGTTTATAGGTGTTGTAATGCTATGTTGTAATTCTAGTCATTTCTGTTTTCATCTGTCTGTGAGACGATAAGAAAGCTGTGCATGAACTATCCTTTAAATTTGATTAAATTCTATACTGATGTGGAGTTTATATATTGTGCCGTGAAAACACACACACACACACACACACACACACATATATATATATATATATATATATATATATATATACATACAGTGCATTCAGAATGTACTCGGACCCCTTCATTTCTTTTCTTTTTCTTTTTGCTGTTTGTTATGCTGTAACCTTACGCAGCATTTAAAAGAAGACTATGTATTTATTCAGTAATGTTATCATTCATGGTATATGAAAGATCTAAGAAAAAGCTAAGAATTTTCTTTTTTTTTGGAGAAAGTTTTATAAAAAGATAAAATACCACATAGAATCCTAAATCATACACTGTAAAAAATGTATCATGGGTCTTGTAATTTTCATTAAAAAAATTAAGGTGATAATTAAAAATATTGTGTATATGTCATTAAAGAAATTGTGAGTCAGTGTTGTATAGAAAATATTGAGGACTTTTTACTAATAAAACCAAGAGATGTGTTTTCCTCATTTTTTTTTTAAAGGAATCAGTTTTGGGGCTTGAATTGAGGAACTGATTAAACTAAAAAAAATTAAGGAAAGAAGGCTACCTATTTATTTTAAGAGAATTAGCTCAATTTTGCAGTTTTATTTTAGAGGTGATTGTTAGTTCCCAGCATGCTTTGCACATGGCTGGATATGGAGAGTAAATTTTGAAATTAAATGCTATTTTATGTGTTTTTGAGTGAAGGTCAACATCTCTTAATGTTTAATGTTCAGTTATGTTTGACATTTGAAAAAAATTAAGGAAAGAAGGCTACCTATTTATTTTAAGAGAATTAGCTCAATTTTGCAGTTTTATTTTAGAGGTGATTGTTAGTTCCCAGCATGCTTTGCATATGGCTGGATATGGAGAGTACATTTTGAAATTAAATGCTATTTTATGTGTTTTTGAGTGAAGGAAAACATCTATTAATGTTTAATGCTCAGTTATGTTTGACATCTGAAAGAGTTTCTGTTACGTTGAAGTTTCCATTGCACAGTGCAATCGTTACCATTGTGCAGAAGAGTAGAGCTTATGGTTATGGATACTACTCCTCAAAAGCATTAAGCCTCCTTCAATGAGCAAAATGATCTTTGTCAGTGTTAGTGCAGTACTTTCCAGTATTTCTCAAGTACAGGTGCATCTCAATAAATTAGAATTTCAGTCTGTGTGCATTGAATTTATTTAATACACGAGTTTCACAATTTGAGTTGAATTACTGAAATAAATGAACTTTTCCACGACATTCTAATTTATTGAGATGCACCTGTATTTTCCTACTTGAGCTGTTTGGCTGTAAAAGTATGTTAATAATGCAAAAATATGTTTTAAATGTACAAAATCACTCAATGTCAAATATAAACAGACCTCACTCAAAATCAGACTTTTGAGAATCAACTTAAAATAAATGAGCACATTTCAGTAATTATATTAAATTCGTTATGTCATTAATGAACTTAGGAGATTTCACATGATTTATTCAGGTAGATTCCATTAAAAAATTAAGCCTGGAAAAACTACTCAAAAATATTATGTGTAATATTGTTACCATAATTTTTTTAAGTAAATAGCTCGTTCCATTTTTTACAGTGTAGTAAACTGAGCCAATTCATTTTAAATGTGTTATTAGTATCGAAATTTCGAGACCCCAGCTGAAAACCGTTTTAAAACTGGATATCGCATTGCCATGGAAATGGTACTCTAAAAGGGGGCTTCTCCCCCTAGTGAGCATTTTCAAGTGTCATATTACAAAATTTACTGTAATTTATAATCCAAACTTTCTAATCTTGAAACACATATAGTTGAAAAGGTCTGAGTCTCAAGGTTCCATATTTGGTGGTTATTTTGTGATAGAAAGAATATTGAGACAGAAATTTATAAATTTGTGACAGGAATGCATAAAAAAAAATACATAATAATTGTCTATTTTTGGTACAACACCTACACAAAATCTCACAGGAACCTCAAGTGATGTGACATCAACTTTAAATTTGGATCATAACTTATTTATACTTATGGCTTTAATTTTATAGCAATTTATATATTCCAAAATTTTTGTAAAATAGTTGTTTTATATAAAATAAAAAATATACAGTACATTTTCTTTACAGTAAACTTGAACTTCTATAACGTTTATACATTTCACTTTCACATTACTGCTGATGGTCTTTTTTAAAAAGAGACCAATCTTAGGTCCGTATTCCAAAGCGTACATGAGAGAAAAAAAAGGTTGCTAAAGCTAATATACTAACCCTATAGGCCCTATTAAGATTTAAAGTGCAATTAGGTAACTAGATACAACTTATGTAAAAAAAAAAAAAAGGAGATGAAAAAGATTAAGAAAAAAAAAAACTCAGTGAGGAACAACAATGTTGCTTTGCTTCATAAAAGCAATCTGGAACTTTAAGAGCCATCTTCAGTCCACACTGCACGTTGACCAACGGCTACAGTTTAGCTCTAGCATCAATGTCCTGCTTAACCAACACCTCGTTGATGTGAAGTCTGTTGTCCTTCAAGTAACGAGAGTCCTTCGTAGCTCACCACATCATGTCTGTAAAGATCTGCATGGTAATGCGCATGATTATATTACGGGGCATTCCAACAGATCTCCTTTGTCCCAGACGGTTGTAGTCAAGTTGCCTTTTTTTACATAGCGCTTTATACAATACAGATTGTGTCAAAGCAGCTTTACAGTGTTAAACAGGAAAAACGTGTGCTGATAATGCAGGAGGACAATAGAAAACAGTCAGTTTATCAGTTAAAGTCAGTTCATTGTTGATTCAGTGATGTCATTGTCCACCTCAGTTCAGCTCTCTTCCAATAGTGTGTAATTTCTCTTTCTTTTATTTTTAGATTAGCCACAAATGAGGGTTCATCACTAAGATCAAATAAAGCAATTCATGAACTTCAGCAGTCTTTCTTTTTTTGTTGTTGTTGTTTTATTCCCCCCAATGCTAAATGGGTTCAAGTGAAAACTAATTATACTCTATACATAATAAAGAAACTAATAAACAAAATCAAAACCTGGTCCTTGATTTTACACCAAAGAAATAGTCTTTTAGTTCTTATCTGAGACATGATGATCCATTCCGTGGCAAAAATTAGTTATTCTTTCCTAAGAAAAACATTGAGTGCGTTGAAATATGTTGATCTGCTTTAGCATGGACAACTCCGACTAGCATATGAAAGAGCCTCCACAAAGGAATCAAACACAAAGGCATATCCACTCCAAACAGTATTCGAATGAACACCGTTACAATTAGTTATGTATCCAACCACAGATTTGGAAGTGAAATGATATGAAAAGGGAAAAAGTCCTTCTGAAAAATAGAAAATACCAAAAACCAAACATAAACATTCCTCCCACATTCTAAATAAAGAAGTTAGACAATATTCAAATATACTCACATGTCGAGCTTAAAACCAAAGGTTTCTCAACTAGGCCTTTGTCAACCCGAAGTTCAAGGTAGCACAAAGAAACACGTGATCCCTCTACCCAAACTGAACTACTTCTTCGTGCAACTACTCACCTGATATACAATCCAGGTGTGTCCAACGAGCGCCCTCTAGTGCCTCATAGTATTACACCACTAATAATTTTTAATTCCATTAATAAGTATGTGGAAAAACTGTTACAGAAATTTCACTCTGTTACAAGTGTCTGTGCAGTCAAGTCAACAATGTTGCCAGAAATTATGTCCCCAACTAAGCAAGCTAAAGGCGACAGTGGCAAGGAACCAAAACCAGTGACAGAAATGGAGAAAAAAAACCTTGGGAGAAATCAGACTGTCGGTGGGAGAACTGCTCCTCTGGACAGATGAAACCAGCATGGTGTGGTTTAATTCCAGGCTGCAACGCACATCAGATTGAGCTGAACTAGTGTGGTTCTCGTGGTCTTGAGCCGATGGCCGATGAGATCTTACCAGGGGATCTGTCTCTATTTATCTAGATGACATGGTCTCCGCTGACATTCAGAGCTATAGAGGTCGTCTCTAGGTGCTGATCCACCATCTGATCCGGAGACAAACTGGATCCGTATGGCTACAGTGACCTCAGAATAAGAATGAAAGAGACTAATATTAGCGTAGATGCTATTCTTCTTACGATGTAACTAGTACATCAGGTGTTATGGGAAGTGTCCCTGGGTTCCGGTTGACCTAATTAATGCTGCCTAACAATCCTTTAACGGATTTGAATTATAGAAAAGTGATTGTGTTAAATGTATGCCAGGTTAAAGAGATGGGTCTTTATATGGTCATACTTCCTGATTCTACTAAGAACTCTAGTTTCTGCATTTTGGGCCTGCTGGAGTTTGATTATTAAGTGCGCAGAGCAACCACTCAATAAAGCATTACAATAATCTAACCTTGAAGTCATGAACGCATGAATGAATGTTTCTGCATTTGACATTGAGAGCATTGGTGGTAATTTAAATATATTTTTAAGATGGAAAAATGGGGTTTTACAAATGCTATAAACGTGACTTTCAAAGGAAAGATTGCTATCAAATAACACACCTAAGATCCTAACTGATGATAAAGAATGGACAGCACAGCCATCAAGTGTTAGACAGTGTTCTAGGTCATTACATGCAGTGGATTTTGGTCCAGTAGGACCAAAAATAGCAGTAGGAAATTACTAGTCATTCAGTTTTTTATATCAGCTATGCATTCTGTTAGTTTTGTGAACTGGTATGTTTCGTCGGGCCGTAAAGAAATATAGAGCTGAGTATCATCAGCATAATAGTGAAAGCTATGTTTTCTAATGATATCTCCCAAGGATAGCATGTAAAGTGTGAAAAGCAACAGTTCTAGTACTGAGCCTTGTGGTACTCCATACTACACTTGTGAACGATATTATATTTCTTCATTCACTGCTACGAATTGATGATGGCCAGATAATCATGATTTGAACCATGCCAATGCAATTCCACTAATGGCAACATCATTTTCTAATCTATTCAAAAGAATGTTGTGGTCGATAGTGTCGAATGCAGTGCAAATAGGTGTGCTATTTGATAGCAATCTTTCATTTGAAAGCCACGTTTGTAGCATTTGTAAAACTGCATTTTTCCATCTAAAA